CTGGGGCGGAAGTGGGTATCCATGTAAAAGTGAATTTCTGTGTGCTTTCTATATATATATATATATATATATATATATATATATATATATATATATATATATATATATCCAAAAATGGAAAGAAATAGCACAGTGTCCGGTAATTAATATTAGAAAAAAATGGCAAGGCAACAAATGTTAGTAAAACGTAAGCACTTTCTTCATTATTTCTTCAGACGTTTTATAATTCATTTTTGAATTGTAAAACGTCTGAAGAAATAATGAAGAAAGCGCTTACGTTTTACTAACATTGTTGCCTTGTCATTTTTTTTCTAATATATATATATATATATATATATATATATATATATATATATATATATATATATATATATATATATATATATATATATTCTGGATTCTGGATTTCTAAGAATGGTGTTCCAATATTTTAGAATTCGTTTTTTTCAGTCCTTTAAAGCAAGTAACCAGTACTGTAGGGTTACGTAACGGCTTTTCTGTATTGTGTTTGATGATGAGTTTTGATCGGTTTATGTTGATCTTTTCTTCGCTAATTTTCACACAGGGCTTCATTCAGTGTAAGTTTGTTAAAAGTTGTATCAGAAATACAGAGATTAGAAAAAAAGAATGTACATAAATATGAACTTTATCTGGACGACAAAATGGGTTTTGACGTCCCAGCGGCACAGCAAGCATGCCTTTTTATGTAGTGCGATGTGAAAAACTCTTGTCTTTAATTAATATACGATACCCCTTGACCCCAAAAAGATCTCGATGACTTAGTATTACATGTACATGATACTGGCAAATTTTCTAAAGGAGATGTTTTCTCTGGATCTGTCACAATTCCATATCAGAAACAAAGTGACCGAAATTGCGAGCTTGACTTTTGAAGAGTTCGCATTTTCTCGACATAAATTTTAAATTGTCGTCATGTAATCTATTGAAAACAGATTACAATCTCATCCGATGCCCCTGATATGTACTTGAGAAAATTAAAATGTCATGGAAAAAAATGAACTTTATTTAAAACATCATTTCACCCATACACATCTCCATTACGCTTAAGAATGGTTTTTCCTTTATTTTTTTTCAGTTATTTAGGAGTTTAATACTTCAGCAGTTTTTTAACAGGAATATACATGCATTGTTTTTTCTCCACCGCTAAACCACACGAATGCTTTAACAAACAATTAACACATGAAACATACATTTTGATACAACAAAAATTATGTATAAAGTGATAGTAGAAATGTCTGATAATAAAACATCAGCCACACACAATCGGACGTGATCTAAAAAGAAGAACCAACACGTAAGTACAAGAACTTTCTGCATCTATCAATCTTCAGCACACACAGTTCATCGCACGCATGTTAGAAAAATTGCTAAATTCATGAATGGTTAGTGACGACACACTGTTCTTACTTGTACATCAATGGTTCTTATACAATAAACTTATGCTTACAATTGACAGGGTATTTTTACATTATCATAAATCTAGAATATTCTAGAAGTTTTTACTGGAACAATCTGGACATACACAAAATTCAAGAAAGTTCTACAAAAAATGACCATACATGTTGACCACTCTGGAATGATCGAAAAGTTTCTTAAAGTTGCTAATTATATATATACATGATGAAACAATACAAATGCAACACACCTCAATACAACGCCTTCTAGCATACATCAACATAACATAAAATGAATCGAGAACGAAGAAACTAAACAGAAAGTAAAGTCAAGGATCTTTTATGAATACCGTTTTGATTTAGTAGCCATGTGTAGTCCGTAAGTATATATTTGAATTTACGAAGTAAACAAACTTAATCAAGTACTAAACAGTTATTTCTCATGCTGGGCCAATTATGCGTTTATAAACTTTATTTAGATTGATTGTATACGTACCAAGATTAATTTTTAATCAAAACTTTCAATGGCAAGACGACAATCTAAATAGAAGGTTTTTATTTTAAATTATTTATTTAACTGTATAGTTTTTAAGAAATGATGCTCATTTCTTTGTAATCCTTAAGGTAATTTATAATTTCCAATGAAATTAGGAAAATACCCCATTTTTTATATAGTACTGGCTGTTTTAGCTGAATAACTTCAATATATCGGAAAACTAAATGAATGAGCGTTATTTTTTAGAAAGTATAGGTGCATAGGGACAATCTAAAACATTTCAACAGTTAATATTTTGTTTGCCTTGCCCTTTAACTTTTTAGCCAAATTTGACATTTCATTTTTTTTTTACCTAAAATCGGAGCCCACATGACTTTAGAAGGTCACATGATGACAAAATATACCGATGTAAATAGCGATGGACATACTCTAAAAGATAACATAAAGTAATTTTAACAAAAGTGTCTGGCTTGAAAATAAAACAATTGAACATAAAGGTAACGTTTTCAGTGACATGTTTATAAAAAATGTTGCCTTAACTGTATTGCACCGTGTGTCATTAACTATGCAAACAGAAGACTAATTTGAAATGTTCATTACACACACAGCATTTTTTCTTTACAAGATTGCTTCTATATAAACGTTTATGGTACGGTCACCTCAATGTCGTTCATAGACAACCTGCTCAATATATAGGTTTCTTAGCAAAAGCACATTGGGTGCCATTGAAAATTGATCTTCCATCAAACGAAATAATAAGACAATTCCACATATGAAATTTCCAGTTATTCATTCCCAAAGAACGAAGATTTGAAATAAAAATGACAAACTTTTATAATATCACTCCGACATATATCTATTCAATTTCAATAGTTTAAAATCAATATTTATTCATTTCTTACCAGTTTCAATACCAAGACTCCATACAAAATGTCTTAGGCCACATTAATAAAATTTGTCGGACTCGATAGTTCGTATTCAAACAAAACTATACCAATAATTTTAATTTTAAATTCCCACACCATGGGAATCCTGTGCTGTTCCATTCCCGCTCTATTCATCGTGCTTAACTTACTCCGAAAATCAGGAAAACTATAATTGTCCGCTCAAACTTTTTCACGTTCTGCTTAAAAATTTTGCCTTCCAAAAAAGTATGATTATCAATTTTTAATCGCTTGCCCGCTTGTACTTTTTTTTAATCAATGCAGTACAATAAAGGTTACAAATGGAATTATCGGCGATATTTTAAGATAAAAAATATATACTATATAAGGACGGGCTATTCTTTTAGGATTTCACTGATATCAAAAATGTGTAATCAGGTTCAGAACAACATGTTTAAGACATTTAGATTTTCCGAGTCACATGATTTTAGCATTCATACTTGCAGTCTAGAAGTCATCGATATTTTCCAATATTGCAAGAGCATAGTTAAAAATCTTAGTTCAATTTATAATTCTTTTTAACAATATACATGTATATAGTTTGTGAAAAGTGCTGCGAACCTATACAAAAGCCCTTATTTAATTGCTAAAATTTAATTTGTTGGACGCCAGATTGACTATTTCGCTTGTCAACTACATTAAATGTAACTAGAACTAATTTATTTGCAAGATTTCATGAGGATCGCAGCACTTTTCAAATAACTAAATCCTTCTTGTGTTTTTCTATAAAAAATATTATCTATTACGGCTTTTTTTTGACTTTTTCAATGAATCTGCATAAAAACACACGACAGTATCACTTGTATGGAAAATATTCAGAAAATATATAAATACATTATAAAATAGGCATCGCATTTAAGTTAATGGCCTTTTAAATAACTGCAAATGATATTTCATTTGAAATCTTTCACTGTACAAAATGTAACTTGATGAGCCTCTCACTGTGTACAAACTGCGTCATTTTTGCGAGATGACCTCACATTGACAAGTGCATTACCATCGATGCATCGTCTATATATTGTTGTGTGAGATTTTACCAATGAAAATGACAAAACTACATGTAATAGTGAGTTTTCATGTAGAATACAGCTATTCAGAAATTTTTTTTATACCAAATAATTTCATTTTGTGGTATTTGAAGACCTTATTTTAGGTTTGTCTTCATAGTAATTATTTCCCATACAAATTACGCCCTGCCTCCTTACTGTAACTTTAACTGAGCTGCAAAATGTCCGACGGGCAAGAAATTAAATTGGCGTAGCCTTAGACTAATTCAAACTGGATTTAAGATCCCGGTAAATTTTTTGAAGGGGGATTTCACCAATAACTATATTTATGTCCTGATTAAAAGAAAAAGCTTGAACATAAGTATGGTAACTTTTACTCATACGTGTCTACATAGAAAACACATCCTATACAAACTGATCATACTACTCTAACCAAGGAATTACAATAGTCCACGAGACAGCTACGTGGCATCCAAACACAAGCAGACATGACTTACAAACAACAAAAATTCAAACATGATGACAATGACCAGATGACCATGAATACGTATGAATGAAGGAAAGATAAATTGGTGAAAATTCCCTAAAGTTATGCTACTAATTTTTCCCTATTAATTAACTAGTATTCATAGATAAAATAAACGAAGTAATTGTCAGCCTTTGGTGAATATATCTGAAAGTTTCGTTAAAATATATAGAATTTTGTTTTCTTGGCCATAAATATACTGTACATTTCTAACATTCATGATGTGTTATAACATAAACATTATTCTAAAAAAAATATTGCAAAATATAATGTGCATTATTATAAGATAATTGTTGCTTAGAGGTCATTGCAATGAATTCTTTTATTCACATGGAATATCAAGTACAATATAATATGGAAAAAGAATATTATATATAGTACTAGTAATTTAAATCAGGTTTTTTTCAAAGTGATAGGGATTATTTAATCATATTTGTTTTAAAACTCTGTGTGCACTCAACGATTATACAACCAAGTTTAATTTATCCTGTATGACTCCGAAAATTTGGTTATCCATCAGTCATGCAAATATATAAATACATGTATTTGAAAATATTTATCTGATGAAAACAAATATATATAAATATAACTGTTTTTTATTCTTTTTGTAAGCTGATAGTTCAACGGTGTCATCTATGGCTTTCGATGAAGGAATCATGTATAAGATTTTTCGAAATTATGCTGAAATACCTGCACCTGTATCTGGATGGGCTAAGCCTGTGAAACATGAAGATATTACAAAATCAGATGATATAGAAAGAATCAGAAGTTATCGAAATGAACATGCTCATCAAACCTCTTTTGTGATGAAAAGAGATGTTTTCAACATTAAATGGATGGATCTTTCGCAGGTAAGTTATTTATAATTGCTAAAACCTATGGTTATATACACTGTATATCTATATATACTAAGTACTTGCAAATTTATACATGTATCTGTTCAATGTTTTATGTTACATGTACGTAATAAACAAACAGTTTATACCTTTCATTATACTATGAAGTAAAAATGATGTGTCATTTGACCACCCAAGTTTAAAAGATCGAAGAAGGATATGGAGATAACGAACAGTATTCAATATCTAAATCCATAAAACAATTCAAAGTAGGAGCAGAGCAAACACGGTCCTCCGAAACATCAGAGATTGGATCAGTTGCCAAAGACAAAAGACAAAAGTCTTTAAAAATATCAGAGTTAATATTAGGTGCCTTGAGGAGTAAATGCCCCATTCCCACCGTTCACATGGGTGGACTGTTCCTTCTCATGACCAATGAAGAAACAAAGTCCAGAGTATATTTTGAAAATATAGACTGTAATTTCTACGAAAAGTATTCGTCAAAATGTGACTGATTTGAACAGTTCTTGGAAGCCTAGGGATACGACGCTAGCTTCATGATGGAGAGTCCAGCGCTCGATTTCCGATCGCTTTGCTGCATCAACGTATACATAGGCAGTGATCGTTCCTTCCCTAAGTGCAGGGCCCGAGAATCAAAAGTCTCGGGTCTTTAGGATAAAATTTTGAAAGCCAAAATCGAATAATAAAAATTCTCAAATGGGACACTAAACAACACACAATTAATCAATAAATTGACTGATCTCTAGTATTTCTGTTGCAAAGAGATTATCATAGACCATATTTGTGGCTGATTTTATTATTGATTCTATGATTGATTGATTGATTGTATATTGTTTTCGTCCCGTTTGAGAATTTTTCACGTATATATAGACGTCATCATATATCAGAAAGCTTCAAATATTTAGACCTCTATTTGGCTTTTTAGGCGGTTGAGCAGTCCATTGCAACTAGTCCTTTCCCTTGCTTGTCGTAAAAGGCGACTAAATGGGGCGGTCCTTCGGATGAGACCGTATAACCCGAGGCACCGTGTCACAGCAGGTGTGGCACGATAAAGATCCCTCCCTGCTCAAAGGCCGTAAGTGCCGAGCATAGGCCTAAATTTGCAGCCCTTCACCGGCAATGGTGACGTCTCCATATCAGTGAAATATTCTGGAGAGTGACATTAAACAGTATACAATCAATCAATCTATGCCTTTTAGTTCTAAAGGTAGAAAGTTTAATTATAGGTGTATGTACCAGTATGTTAAATGGCAATAGCTCATATAAAAGGTAATCGGATTCTTTTGCAATGACAAATTAAAGTTGTGTATAAGGACCCTGAATACAAAAGTGAAGGTTTTATGTCTCTACGGTTTACGGTTCCGGAGGAGTAGCGGAAACAATGTTTTTGGCTCAAGGGGCATTAACTTCGATAAAGGTGAAACTTAGGGGGGGGGGGGGTATGTAATATTTAAAATAGTTTTATAAGTGCATGTTAAATATCTTAAGACAGATAGCATATGTTGAAAGACAAGGAGTTATAAAAAGAGGAGAAGAACACCAACAGGAAACGTTTATATCTTTATTTTATAACAGCAAACAAACGGAAATGGCATGAGCTCCTAGAAAATAATTTGCATAAATTATTATTCCCATTAGACAAATAAAAACGTCAAACAGATAGAAAAAAACGTAAGTTATGTAAAAGGAAAGTATTATAGAAGCAAATACCTGAATGGGCAGCATGGCCTCGATGAGTTGTGACCTAAAAAACTGGCTTGAAGGACAAGTTTTTTTTTCAATCGAACAAGAGTAGTTATACCTAGATCTACTGCGCAAGTGGATTCAATTAATTAAAAATAACTTCAATCAAGAATAAGATTACAAAAGAGTGTTCAACAAAAGCCTTTTAAAAAGATAAGAGGTATATTCATCAAATACCGTAAATCTGGAAATTTTTGCTTTAGATAAATTTAGCAAATTTGCTGGTTAAATGCATTCTAAAAATACTTTTCTTAAAAATAATTCCACAAATAGAAAAATGTAACAAAGTAGTGGTCATTCGCAAAATTTTAAACCGCAACAATTAACCAATTGCACATTAACCCAGATTCGCAAAATAAAACCAACGTAAAAATTACCACATTAACGGTAAGAAGTAAGTTTAAAAAATGCGCGCGGCATTCACCTTAAATAAATATATAAAATAAGATAAATGTAAATACTTGGTCACACACTCCCCGGTCAAAACAATTCGGCTGTCCTAAGCACAAGTAACATCACTCCAATTATCCTGAATATTATGACATTTCTGGAGGTTTTTGCGATACACATTGTCGCCACCAGCATTTTTTTACTTTGTGATACGTCTGTCATTTGATTCTTTTCTCAACTCTGCTTTATAGTTGGTTTCTTGCAGTGCACGTTGATACGCTAACTGACTTTTTTCCGTCTGAGTTCTGTGTTTGACTCTTGCCATAATTTCCTAAGAGAAAATATATTGGAAAATAGGGATCGCGTCTAAACATTAGACAATATTGTATAAATCTGTAGATGGATGTACGGTATCATTATATGCAAACACTTCATCTTTAATGTAATCTGGCCATCGTTTCTTTTTGCATGGAGATAAAGTACTCAGTAAGTGATACAGCGTTCTATTAAAAGGTTGGCATTGACCATTTGATACTGAGCAGTGGTTCTTGATCCTTTAATCCCATTAACCCTACACAGTTCTTATATAATTACTGCCTCGAAATATCTCCCTTCATCTGAATAAATTCTTTAACATATTTAGAACTTGCAGAACAATTCGTTAATCAATTGTTTGGCCACAGTTTGAGGAAGTTGATTTCTGGTATGTACAGCTATCGTCCATTTGGTAAACACATCTGTGATTATCAAAACTAGGTTCAATGATCTTTAGATACCTTTTTGCCCTGTATAGTCATGTAAATTATCCATCACATGCAATTGGTAATACAGTTTGTTTTAATTCACCTGAGTTTGGGTCTGACATTTACCTGTATAAAACTCCATCACACATAAATGCATGCTGAATATGTTTCAGTAATAATCCACTTATTTTGTCTTTTTGTTTACTAAACTTCACAGATGGCACATTTTTATTGATCAAAAGTTTTTAATATTACTCTGTCTTTTATCTTTCATTGTTTGATTTTTACTCAATTTCCGAAGGTGTGGACTGTTCAGAAATATTTGCATTTGAACAATCATTTCCATCTCAAATCACTTGGAATTAAGATAATCCTGTGACGTTGCACAATATTTCGAAACACTGCAATCTCAATAGAGCGTCAGTTTTGACACTTAGCTTTACTCGTAAGCTCAAGATTTTGCTAAAGATGAATAACGCAGAGGCTTGTTATCCGTGTACACAGTAAATTTGTTGCAAATCAAGTCATCCCAGGATTTTTCTGTAACACTCCATTTTAATGCCAGTTATTCAAGTTTGATAATACTCAGGTTTTTCTCTTTACGTTCGTTTGGTTTCAATGTTTTATTTGCATACGCAATTACTCGTAATTTGTCAGTCATGTCTTTGCGATAGGAAAGTTCATAATCCATTTATGCTAATATAATATATCCAATATAAACGGTTCACTGAAGTCTGCATAAGTCAATAATGGAGTGATGGACAATTCTTTCTTTTAGCTGGTTGTTGACACTTTGAAATCCATTTTGATTCTAGTTTCCTGTTTGGATGTTTATAAAAATATATGTTAACGCAGCACAGTTAAGGTAGCAGTAAGGAGATGATGCCTAATTTTTACCGGAAATGATTACTTTGACGTTACACAAAATCAAATGTCTTCAAATACCACAAAATGAAATTATTGTCATCTCCCTCGGGAGATGACACATTAAGATTGAATGCCGGAAGTGAAGTCCTAGTGTAAGCCTCCATTAATCTTTCGGGAGTCCTCGATGTTTTATAATTAGAGAGTTCCAAGTAGCCTGTAAACTGGTTTTCTTTTAGAAGAACAAGCTTAGGAGTGTGTGACCTACTTTCGGTTTAGGCCTATTTGAAAGCCAAGGAAAATTTAGAAAAAAAGTACGATGCTTATAAATATCTATAGTTTCGGTGTGTCGTATATATATTGATCCTCAATACTTTGCCATAGTTCAGTTCAGTTCAGTTCAGTTGTGGATTTCCCTCCTATGTATAAGGAGCACCCGAGAAGGTTGTTTCATAAAAGGCATAAAAATTAAAAATAAAAGAGATAAAGTGAGGAAAAGACAGTTAGTAAAATCTATTCTATGTGGTGCTGTAAAATAAAGTTAGAGGTGAAAGACCAACTAAAAATAAAACAAGAATTTACATACTATACAGTAGCTTAACTCCTAAAGTAAAATTGTTTCGGCCCTAAAAGTTCTTAAAAAAAAAAAAAAAAAAAAAAGCCACAATTAAAAAGATCTTTACACCGTTTCCATGACTGTTTCTATTTAAAAAAATTTTTTTAACTCTAAAAATAATTTTATATTCCTCTTTACCAAAAAAAAGGAAAAATATTACGATATTAAATTGGTAAGCCACACAAGGAGAATTGACAATAACGTGATTTCTATATATAGATTTGTTGACGCGAAGGGAAAAACTGGTTCTCGCACAAAAGAACAAGCTTACAATTAGATTCTGCAAAAAATGTATGAAGAGTGGTCAACGCTAATTTTATGTTAATATTTTAGTCTGTAATTGGATTTATTAAATTAATTCCTGTCAAACTTTAATGATTAGCTGCTTTTAAATGAATGATAATTATTGTTGATAATTCCGTATTGTGTTAAGAAAATATAGTTCAAGGAAAGTATTTGAATTTAAGTAAATTGTAAAAACCCAGAAGCACAAAGAACGCTAGAATCAAATTTCACTAAAAATCGCCTTGGGTGCTCTCGTCCATGCTTTTCATATATGTACTGCGGCCAAAAGAAACAGTTACTGCGTACTTTACTGTGGAGTTTGCTGAATAAGTCATTGGGGGACTTCAGGTGTAATAATCCATATATTTATTGCATTAAAATATTTCCCTTTCTGTTTTATTTCTTTGACATTATTGATACCAAAGAGATGACATTTCAGGCTTTCTGGAAAGCCAAACTTGTTTGCTATTTCAATTGCCGGATAGCGGTATACAGATTAAAAACGTACTATTATATGCAGTATTGTCGTTTGTTAAATCCCACAAAATAAAATATAAACGATGCATCGATCACAATACACTTGTCAATGTGAGGTCATCTCGCAGAAATGGTTCAGTTTGTACACAGTAAGAGGCTGATAAATTCGCATTTTGTACAATGAGAATTTTTTTTGTTCTTAAATAAAATATTATTTGCAGTTAAATAAAAAGCCGTTAACTTGGATACGATGTCAATTAAACTTTTAATTCATTTAAAAGCTGTCTGTATATCCTCTTGACAAGTGACACTGTCGTGTATTTGTATGCAGATTCATTGAAAAAGTAATCTTTCCACGTTTTTACACATAAACGGAATAAGCATTAAGATATTTGAAAAGTGCTGCAAACCTATTGAAATCTTGCAAATAGCTATATTTAGTGTAGTTGAACAACAAATTAAATTTAAGTAATTAAATACGGGAATGTATATAGGTTCCCAGCACTTTTCACAAACAACATGTAGTGTTGAAAAGGATTGAAAAGGATTATAAATTAAGATTTTTAACTTGAATATGCCCTTGCAATAATGGAATTTATAGATGACAACTAAACTGAAAGTATAATTGCTAAAAATCTTCTTACTTCAACGTCAAATGACAAATCTAAATAAAAAATCTAAATGTCATCAACATGTAGATTTGAACCATATAACATTTTTTTTTACATCAGTAAAGTCATAAAAAGAATCGCCCATCGCTATAAAGTATGCATTTTTATCTTTAAGAAATCGCCGATATTTCCATTTGTAACCTTATCTGTATTGCAAAGTTTTACAATATAACAAAGAAAATGATATTTCTACAGAGGTGTTTATAAACCTCCTGTAGATAGAGTGGTGTAATTTCGACCACCTGGTTAATTTAATTTCCGATAGTCAACGCATAGCCGAAGACTTGAATGTTTTTTTTCTGACCAATACTATGGCAGACGCAAACGGACGAGTACTTTCACAAACCATGTCTTTTTCAATTAAATTTCGAATGTGTTGCGTAACTAAATTTTAATTGTCCTGGGGGATTCTTCTGTGCGGTTGGGTACATGTAACATGTTTACAATGTACCATCCTTTGTCCTGTTGACATGTTCTACAATTGTTATGTATCCAATATCGTCATCGTGTTTTTAAAGCACATTCTGATGTTTATTAGATAAGTCTGTAATTTTTTCCTTCATTTCGATTGTGACGTCCAGCTGATACAGGTTATCTGGTAGCAGAAATTCACTCCGATTTTACTCAATTTGTTGCTAAATTCTCCAAAATGAATATTTCCTCAGTAAATCCTGTTGATTTGAACTGAACTTTAGAATTATCATTTTCAAATATCAGCTTTTGACCTATCCCTATTCTCGATTTAATGCCCAGTTATTCAGATAATAAAACATAATTGAAATGAAATTATATTATATTATAATTATCAATCGAAATGTCATTGTATTTCAGGATGACCACACCCCATTCCACAATGCCTGAAACATTAACAAACATGAATTACAGGAAAATGCACATTCAAAGACTTTTCCTTCCTCTAATTCTGATTTTAATATCATTGACCTCATATATTAAAATCTGAATTGACAGCTGAGAACTGAACCGAAATCTCCATGAGTAAAAATAAGTATAAGTTTAAATCCTCAGTCAAATACGGAGTCAAAGGGGTTTTTAACAATAAGAACTAATCTGTAATTTTATTTCTCTGGTTTATTTCTACGGGGCGTAACGTAATTCAGAAGTCTTTCTGAATACGTTATATCGCGACTACCAATGAGTACCTAGCAGTTATTTAACTTTCTACCGCTCTTTTGCGGGGGAGTCGAGAAAAGTCTAAATTTCTGGGGGCAAATGACATTGTTTACAGTAGTGACAATCGAATGATTCGAACAATTTAACAAAGAAATCACGATGTGTTGCCAGATATTGAACTCCAAATGGTAGATTGACAAATAAGGAAAGTTTAGAATATTTTATCTGCTTAAAAATGTGATAATTTTCAATGAAAATTTAACGAGAAGAGTCCGCTTAATTAAAAATATCGTTAAAAATGTGACAATTTAGGATTGGCTCCTCTCAAAAATATATAAGGCTGGTTCAGCGATTGTTTAGTGAGGTATTCCACCAGGATGTTTTACTTATCTGTCCTTATAAATGCTACAATGATCGATCTTGCATTGTATTGAATAGCACATTGCCCCCACCCAACAGACGATTCCTACCTCCTACGCGAAAGAGTTACACTAAGTTAAGAAATCGCGATATCAAGTATTTGGGCGATCACATAATATGGCACATTTTGATTCTGGATTACAACCAATGACATATCATTGTTCCATCAAATGTATATAAGGAAACCATTCTTTGTAATTCAACCTATGCAATCACATGGTCCTCGATGAAAATTTCGACACCTCATAAGAATTGTTCAAATTTCAACAAATTTTGAGTATAATTTTGCTATGGATTTGGGAGTGGCTAGAAAATTTCTGCAGTTTTGTTAATGTAAGAAAATTCTCAAAATCATTAAAAAAATAATTTGTTTGAGAAACACTATGCGCTCGAAGGCAACAAAATTAAAAAAAAACTCTTTTCAGGGTATTTGTCACAGTCAATGTCAAAAGGTCACTGACCTTGATTTCTTTTAAAGGAACTTGATTAGTAAAGTATGGATACCAAATATCAAGTATTTATCTCTTATGGTTCAAGAGTTATGACAAAGGTATGGAAAAAGCTATTTTTAGCATACAGGTCACAGTGAAGGTCACAAGGATATTAACCTTGGTGTTATTTGAAAGAGTTTAATTAGTGAAGTATGCAAACCAAATATGAAGCCTCTATCTTTCATGGTTCAGAAGTTATGGTAAGGTTAAAGTTTGCAGATAAAAAGCAATTTTTAGCATAAAGGTTACAGTCAAGGACAAAAGGCCATTCTTCTTGTTGTCAGTTGAAAGGACTTAATTTGTGAAGTATGCATACTAAATATGAAGTCTCTATTTTTCATGGTTCAAAAGTTATGGCTAAGGTTAATTTTTTTTTTTTTTTTTGATAAGACTTTATTCAGGATCTTTAAATCACAACAATACAAAAACAGTACAAAGATAATAATAGAGAAACATGATTATATATATGTTGTTGAACATATCAATTGTTTACATATTTATGTCAAGTTATTATAAAAATAATAAGTAAATTAGCTGGGTTTCTTCCAATTATAACAATTTTTGTAGTGCATATACATATAATAGAATACCGTTTTCTTTTAAGACAAAGTGTTGCAGAGGATAAATATACAAAAAAATATACTGAAACAGAATTGAAATAGCAATTTTGGTCCAACGGGGTCCTAAAACCACAAAAGAGTCCATCCAAACACTCCCCGATGGACGATACTACTTGAGATTGTTCTCTCGTAGTAGCTGATTAATTGATAATAATAAAAAAAAAATTACATCATATTCATAATGTGTCTGCAAATTTTGTAAAAATATGTTGTTTATCGAATTTCATGAGACGTTTTACAGAAGAATATTGAATAAGTGCATTTTGACATTTTTTAACAAATCTACTTCGGTTTCTTTCAGAGATTGAATTCTACAATACATTTTGTATTTATATATTTTATATGCAATAAAAGATATTAATAAATTCAAATATTCAATCTTATTGTTTTTTTCTAAATCAAAGCCCAGAACAATGTGTTTCCCTTTTATATCAATAGATAAAAACGTTCCTAGCTTTTTCCAAATCTGCTCAACGATTTTACATTCAAAAAGTAGATGTTTTGTGGTTTCAGTTATTTTGCATAAAGTACAGTTTTCCCCCTTGTCCTTTATCCATTTACTTAAATAGGTATTGTTGCAGAGAATATTATGGAGCATTTTATAATTAAATTCAGCAACTTTATTATCATTTATATCTTTAATTTTTCTCCTGTATATATTTTGTCACATGCTTGAGTCGTTTGCAGGAATTGAAAACTCTTGAGAAAATTTAATTTGATTACACGGTTTTATTATATTTTTATTTTAAAAAATGGCATTTCTTACCATTTACATTTGATACCCCTGTTGCGAAATGAAATCTCATTTCATTCTTTATGTTTAAATATTAGGCATTAGATAAATCACATTTTTAAACAATGGTTTATTTGCTGATAGTAAAGTTTTATAATCACAAAGCCAGTTCGACTTTCTATTAATAACAGTGGAAAGCATTTGTAGTGTTTTAATGTTCCCGTTATCATCTATTAAATCTTTTAAATAGAGAATATTACTGTTGACCCAGTTATTAAAAAAAAATGTTTCTCCTTTTATTTTGATATTGTTATTATTCCAAATGGGTTGTTTCAAAATATCATTAGGTGATGTATTTTCAGTTTCACATTTTTTTTACATTCGTTAAATGAGCTTAGAATTTGTTTGTAGAAAAGCGGAAGTTTGCCTATTCTGACAAGTGCATTTAAGCTAGTTTCAGAAAATTGTAAGACGTAATTCAGATTTATGTTCGTTTTATTAAAGAAAACTCTCAAAGATTTCATAAAGAGTGCCCTTAGAAGATAGAAGTCGCGGTATCCACGCTGATTTCAGAGCCTTAAACTTACTTTCTATATCTGTAATCGATAACCCTCCGTCAGGTAAATCGCCTATCAGTGTATTTCGTTTGATTCTTTCCGATTTGTCCCATAAGAAATTAAATAAAAGTCTTTGCACCTTACAGATATATTCTTTATTTGGTATACACAATATAGATGCAATATAAACTAGTTTTGAAATTGCTAATGTTTTGATTATACACGATTTACCAAATAGATAACCATCCGTTATTTTTCATTTTGAATTTAGGGTTTTTATATAATATCTTTACCCATGTAATAAATTGATCGCCAATATGATTTTTTTTAACATTTTAAGAAGAAAGTTCCATTCTACAGAATCGAAAGCTTTTTCAAAGTCGAGAAATAATAATAAGCCGTCTTTCTTCTCTGAATAACAATATTCAAAAATATCTAAGATTAGTCGAGCATTTTCACCAATGTATCTGCCTTTAACATAAGCCTTTTGATTTTTATTGATTGTATATGATAATATATTTTGTAATCTTTTAGCTAAAACACAAGCTATGATTTTATAATCCGAGTTTGTTAAGCTAATTCGTCTATAATTTTTTAACAATTGTTTTTCGCCTTTCGTGTGTATTAAAGATATCACAGACAGCTATTGAGATTCAGACATTTCTTTTTGTTTAAAAATTTCTTTAAGTGCGTCATAAAAAAATGGCCCAATATTGTTCCAAAAACGGCATTTTTGCATTCTTAAAGTGTAATTCATCAACATTAATTTGTCCTTCTCGTTCAGCATTAGTACTTCAATATTGCTTAGATAACTTGAAATCTTAGCGGTTGGAATATTTGTAGTTTTAAACAGATTCGTATAATAATTATTCATTTCTCCGATTAATGAATTTGTTGTATTTATTAAATCGCCAGTAGGTGTTTTATGTTCTTTAATTATATCAGACGTTTGATTTTCTTTTTCCAGATTTGAGAAATATTTTGTATTTTTTTCGCCGCTCTCTATCCATTTTGCTTTTGATCTTATTTGCGCCCCTTTTATTTTTTTTGTCATATAGTTCATTTAAATTTGTATAAAGTGCCTTAAGTTTACTATTATTTAGGGCTGGGCAATAATATCGATATTTCAATATATTGCAATACAATGATAAAAAATATTGTATTCCAATATGATTTTGTAATATCGCTATATTGGCAATATACTTAGATTAAGGAATTTTGTCATTAGATTTAAAAATAGACTTATGGAAGTTAAGTTACTAAGCCAAACAGTAAGACAGAAATTGTTTTGTTGGAACATTTCAGAGCATAACTAAATGAAATCAACAAGAATTTTTCCATGTTGGTTACTTAATCATCATAGTTATGTACATTCTGAATCTTAATTAATGTAAATATAGTAAGAAAATGCCATTTTAAGGTAGGATTCTTCTCTGGTTTTTGACTAGATGAAACATTCAAAGCAGATTTGCTTATATGTCTTATATATTGAGGTGTAAGGAATTTAAAAGACCATATTTTTCTTTCCTCATCACAATTGTACAACTTTAAATAGAAATTGTAAACTGCGTTTGAAAACTAGCAGGGACTATATTTTTGGCGGAATGTTGGCATATGAAAATATCTTCTTATCCGCCTCTCAAAATTATAATAGATCAATGAATTTAGTTATAATTTTTACACAATCGAAGACTTGGAGAAATTTTCAAATGTTAGTAAAATTAATAATGAGTGACTAAACTTTCAAAATATATCAAATAAATATGATTTTTCAAACAAACTAGAACTTTGTTAGCTTTTAAACGCTTCCTATCAAAGTGCAGATTTGAGCCAAATATCCATAAAAAGTAATTTTTCTCTCTTAGTAAACGATCAAAACTTTTTGTTTTTGTATCATTTTGTACATTTA